AGGACTGAAAATCAGGGTCAGTTTCTCAAGGAGAAGACGCTTTAGCTCACCAAAAACTTCACATTTCTGCATGCACGGACCTGTCCGAGGAAGCTTCCCATCATTATCCCCAGCTCTTTCCACCATACACTAGCTTGCAGATTGCTACCACTTCAAAGAAATATACAATTAACAAGAGCACATAATTAGTGTTTATGCTGTATCCAGCACATCTTGACGCTTCCCACAGGTAAAGACAGGCAGTACACATTCAAAACTTGCCGTGCATCTAGGAAGTGTGCCACAGATCTGAATATTTTTCATTTACCCATCTCCAGGAAGAAAATTCAACAGAACGGTGTCTGCAGCATGTTCAGCAGCTTATGCCTCTGAATTTATCTGAGGCTCTGTTTTTTAAGCATTCATATAACTGCTCACCAATGTGGTAATAAAAATTACTTCTACATTAGGTAGGGAGCTCTGTGTATTTACCATGTGCATGAACTTGCTTAGTTTTACCCACCAGGTCTCTACAAGGATAAAAAAAATAAGGAGAGAGATTTGATATTATATTAAAGTACTTCATTTCTTTCCCAAATTAGTTCTCCTTCTGGAAGATAATGCTGGATAGTTATCCATGTAATACTTTCATTATAACAGAATGGAGAAGAATTGCATTAGCCTCAAAAGAGATATGAACTGGAAAGGTCATTTTTGTGATAATGGAATTCATCAAGGAGACTGAACAGACACTAGGAAAGATTCACAAAAGATGTCATTTTACCCCTCTGTCTGAATTTTTTTTTTCCCTGATTATCAAAAGCCCTCAGTTCTTTACAAAAAGTATATTTTTTAATTCACCTAGAACCATGCTTTTAGTTTATCATTGGTCTTACTAAAAAGACATTAGGCATTTTGGTCTAACTGTGAATTACACTAGGTCATCAAGAGGACCTGAATATTTAACATTTAGCAAAGAGGGTTCTCCATCATGTTTGATTTCTAACCATTTATATTCCAAAAATAGCTTTTCTTTTCCAGACTTGAAAGTAGTACTTTGTGGGGATGTCTCAATCTCTAGGGCTCTAAATTTACCTCAGATCTTTCAGGTTCTACATTTAAGATAACTCTTAAACTTGGAGGTCTGCGTCTCACTTTCAACTTATGGAATTCAGATATTATCAAAAGCTACTTAGGTATGTCTTGAAGAGCTTTCATGGGGCTTTTGCAAATTAAATATCAGAAATACAGGTTTTCATAGTTATTGGTAAAGCTCAATTAAGTTTTACTAAAAATGAAACAATTTACAAATATTTGGGTTAGTCTTCATTCTTCTCTCCATGTTTCCAACCACCACACTCCCTCAGTTCTTCCCTCTGTTGAACCTTACTGGCTATGTCACCTTGAGGAAAAGTTTAACTTGCTCTACTCTTGGTATCTTACCTCTAAGATGACTAGGATAATTTCTGCCCTGTCTCAGAAATTTGAGGGAAATTATATGACATTATCTGTGTAAAACTTAATGGTAAAGTGTAAATTGTTGCTTATAAAGTGCCATTATACTTTTGTTATTTTTCTTTCTTCTTCCCTTTTTTTTCTTTTGAGATCAGAATCCCATCCACCCCATCAACAAACCCATTATATTTTAGTAAAACAAACTATGAGACATATGTCCTTCCCATTCTCATGCCTTCAGGTCAAAGGAAAATTCCTCTCAGCACTTTGGAGAAAAAATTTCTGTAGAGATTTGCTGCTGTGGACAGGATAGATCGGGTATGCCCTGCAGCTGCCAACCTCATGTAGAAGCCCTGTGATGTTAAAGCAGTACCAGGGACACCTAAAGACTGAGTCAGGGTAGGTTCAGAGAGGGAAGTGAGGGGAAAAGAGAGATGCTGCTGAACGCAGACCTCTGTCAGCTCTCCATTTCTCAGTCATCATCAGCTCCCAAATACAGACACAGTCTCAGTGCGACATTCATGAAATGCCCATTGTGCTTCACAGGAGAACAATGCACTGCCATCATTGTTTGCTTCCCTGTGCTTAGCCTCATTTGGTGTGGGCTACTTTCTGTCAACCAACCAACAAAATAAAGTGAGCTTCTTATATTCCAAAGTTTCATTAGGAAGCCATTTATTTACAACCTCAAAATCATTTGCCTGTAATAGCAGCAGAGTAAGTAATGCTTTGGTCTCCACACAAACCTAAAAAGTAAATATTTACCCAGAAGACTAGACATATGATGAAAATTAGAGAAAATAGGACAAGCAGATAACACAAAATTGGATAAAACAAAAACGAATTAATTATATTTTGGATCTTGAGGGAAATGAGATTTACTTAAAAAAGGAAAGGTAGATAGTTTTGTTTTTTTTTAAGTTCTGAAAGAAATTTCAAGATAGTTTTCAGGACTTCCAAGGTTTTGTGGGTCAATTCTAATTTTTTTTTTTAATGAAAGCTACATATTCCCCTAATGGTGGTATGCCCATTCACTTTTAGCTTTGCTTAGAGTCATTTGAGAGCTCACAGTTGAGACACACAGGAAAGAGAGGAGGAGAAGGCAGAGGATAGAGACTATGGAAGGACCGAGGCAAGAATTGCACAAGGGAAAAGATGAGTGAAAATGAATATATGGCTGTAGAAGGTGAAAAAAAATGTCCAAGTAGTATTGACTCTGATCTGAAATGGACAAAAAGAAAAATATATACCAAAATAACTCCAAATACTACAAAATAACTGTGAACTAGCAAAGAATTATTCAAATCTTTCTATACCAGCTCTAAGAAAGCAATATCTTCTAAAGAAAATTTCTCTTAGAGGTCAGAAGCAGGCTGAGGATGAGTGGGTTGGTATTTGAAGGGCAGAGGAGAAGGGCTAACCACACACCAACTGCAAGTACAGAATGTTTACAAGTCAGGTGCTCGGTAAGTTAGGGAGTACGTATGCTTTAAGGAATAATATTTATGCAGGAAACTTGAAAAGCCAATTGAGTGCCCATAAATATATGCATATTAAAGGAGATGTTGAAAAATTAGGATGCTTTTACACATTTTAAGAATGTTTTACACAAAGGAAAAGTATGCAGGAAGAGCTCAGTAAAAGAAAGTGCAAATGTATTAACCGTTAGGCCAAAACCAGCATCTGGCATTGTCAGCTGTCGTGAAATGTCTTGATATATTTCAGTGGTTAATAAAAGGATACTACCATGTGATAACTGATAGTTTTATACCACTGTCTGAGTAGCTAAAAGTTGCTGAAACAGCAAATCATTTTATGAGCACTCATACAAGCAAGCACTGGAAGAATACTTTTCAGTATTGAGATTTTTAAGAGTAGATTATAGACCAACTTGCATACTTCCAAGGCTTGACATGGTTTCCCATCAAGATGGCTGCAGCTGAAACAGCATGAGGCCAGTACACATTAGGGAATGTCACAAGGAAGGCAGGGCCCAATACCAAAGAGAGGGGGACACAAAGATGCTGGCGTGACATCAGTGTATCCAAAGTAGTAACAAGAACATCATTTTATTGTCATGACGGTTCCATGTTGTCTGTAAGTCATTTCATTTATATTTTTTGACAAGGTTGATATTTAATAGTTGGCATAACAATATTCGAATATTATACGGAGTAGTAAGAAGCAGTCATTGAGAATCATTCATCAAATATTACTAAGTATCAATAAAATCTGTAATCCAATGTGGCTAATGATTTATGCTCACCAAGTTGTACTGTCGCTATTTTGCAAGCAAATTTTGTATTGTCTTTATGAAGGGAATAAGAGTCATATTGAACAATTAAATCCAGGCTAGCATGTTTTACAAAGTTAACAGTCTGGCTGACAGGATTTCGAAAGATACACAAAACCCATCTATCACAGGGCAGGGTGGAAGGACACTTTTTAAATACCTGGCCTCACAAGCAAACATGATTATTATTATTACGAGTAACAAATTAACTTGTTATTGTGCTTTTAGGAAATCTTGTCCTGTAGAAAAAAACAAAAAACTTATGATAAAGTAATAGGATCATTATTACTGCTACCATTAATAAAAATTAATATTAAACTTATAATCATAAAAAACATAATTATTTGGTTTCTCCTATGGAGCTTTTCCTATAATGTTCTTATTGCTCATAACCATCCCATGCAGAAGATGTTAACACATTTTTATAAATGAGGGAACCAAACTGCAGAGAGAAAAAGCAACTAGCCTAATGTCACGTACCAAGGTGGAGTTCCAAATCCACATCTGCCTGAATTCAAAGCCTGAGCTTTCCTTTCATGCTATAGACATGTGTAGATACGATTGCCTTCAGGGCTTAACGTACTTAGCTCATAAAAACTAGAAAAACGGAAAACCAAATTATTTGTTTATTCTGACTACAAAGATAATCAATTTCAAGCAAATAGAGGGCAGCTTCCATATTAAGAAAAACAGACATAGGTTGGGGTAACTGCTACTTCTGCTTAGTGATCTTGTATCTCTGGTGCTGCCACCCTTACCTCAAAATAAGGGGTCCTTATTTTTTTTGAGGTCCATTCTCAGACCATGTGGTCCAGTGGAGCTGGAAAGATCAGGTGATAAATTCTGGCTCTGCCACTTTCTAACGGTGTCCCTAGAAACACATTAACATCTCTGAATTTCAATGTTCTCATCAAAATACAAAGAAAATTAGCATGGCCATTCAGGGTTGTCATGATTAGGGGCGTGTAGGAAGAGTAACTCAATGGTGGTTGGAACAAATTAGGAGAATAATAAACTGAGACTTCTATTATTCTTTCTAAGGTTGTAACTCTTGTCGAGGCTGAGCCAAGGACTGAGGAAAGGCCTGAGTGTGGAATGTTGCATGCTGTGGAAAGTACCCTTTGTTAGATCTTACTTAGAAAAGGAAAAAAGGCTTTCTCTACATTTACTTCATAACTTCCTTCAAAGTCATCATTTTCAAGTAGCTTTAACAGTATATCATCCTGTGAATGACCTAACAAAGCCACTGAATACTCTTGGTTTTAGTCTAAGAATGGGTTTACCCTCAGAGTTTATCCCACAACCAAGCCAGTTTGGAAAAGTAGAAGAAAGTATCCTAAGTAAAAGTCAAAAAGGTGAGGAAAGAAAATCCAACTCTGTGTAGAAGGCCTGTGTCGTATTTAAAAGAGATGAGGGTCTCCTGTGGAAGCTGAAGCCTAGGAGAGCATGCATGAGTAAGAGAGACTGCATGGACTACGTAAGACATTGTTATCAGATCGAAGTGAATGGAATTCTGGTCTTAGGTCTGCCTTCATTGCAAACTGCTGAGAAACCTCTGAGCACCTTAGCTTTCTTCAGTTTTAAGAAAGAAGAGTTGGAGACTGCTCTCTTCCTGAACTTGTTTCAAGTTTCTTCAGACCATTTTCATTTTACAATTTCTGCATTTCTTGAAATTTCAAATAAATTAGGCTAAAATAAAGACAGTAAACCCTGTCCTATTTCCTGAGCAGTCAGTTTGTTTTGGAGAGAAGGGGGGAGAATGTGTGCAAAAGCTCTTGGAAAAGTTAAAAGATGTGTTAATATGCAAAAGTTTGTTTCTATTAAGAAGGAAGATGATCTTGAGTCATAGAAGGGAGGTTTCAAGATAGATTTTTTAAATGATGCTGAAATATGCTTTGAGGAAAGGACGTGGGAATTTCTAAAAAGAAAATTATTGAAAGTTATCTCATGGTGTGGTTTAAGTGCTAGTTGAAGACTTGAACTATAGGACTTCCCGAAATGCCTCTGAGCTTAGTCTTTGAAATTTAACCTGGAGCTTTCAGACCACACAGTTCTTGTCTTCATTTATTGATTTACTTGAAAAACATTTGCCGAGCGTCTACTCTATGCTAGGTCCTGTGAGAAGCAGTGGGGCCCACAGTGATCAACACAGTGCAGTAAGACGAGGCCCCTGACCTGCTTGGGCGCCCCTGGAGAGATTGAGATTTCTTCAAGGACAGGCTGGAGGTGAGCTGGTGAAGTCGGCACAGCATCTTCACTGTGTTTTCACCAGGGTGTGCTGCAGCTTCCTCCACCCAACCTTGCTGTCCTCCTTTTAGTCCCTGGCTGAGGTCTGGCCTGTCTTGCAAAGTGCTTTGCCGCAATCTCTTGTACTTTCCATGTCCCCTACCCCATTTTAAGGTCTCAGATAGGAGGACATCGAGTCTTATTAAATGCATTCTGAACAAACATGTAATCCATAACCATTCCATTGGAGGAGAGGGGATTATACTTTAAAAGATGATATTTATTACTACAAATTAAGGATTCTCTATGATAACATATAGAAAATAAAACAAAATGAAGAAAAGATATTTAGTCCAGATGTGGGAGATAGTTGATGAAAGGTATAATCCTTGGTACTCTTTTTTTTTTTTTAAAGATTTTATTTATTTATTTGAGAGAGAGAGAGAGAATGAGAGACAAAGAGCACGAGAGGGAAGAGGGCAGAGGGAGAAGCAGACCCCCCGCTGAGCAGGGAGCCCGATGCGGGACTCGATCCTGGGACTCCAGGATCATGACCTGAGCCGAAGGCAGTCGCTTAACCAACTGAGCCACTCAGGCGCCCCTCCTTGGTACTCTTTAAATCACACCACTGTGAAGTTTGATTGTACAAGGCCAGCCTTTTGTCTGTTACCCTTTTCCTCAAGGTGCCAAAACTAAATGCCAAATGCTGAGGCGCCGTAGATCATCTGCCTAAGTGTGGCATACAGCCCCCTACATCATGCTGAGTAGATGTCATTTTTTTAACACTGTGGATTTGTTTCAGTGTAAGCATTTTACTTCTTTTGGGGATCCTAAAAGTGTATTCTTCCGTGATTTAAGCTGAAGATACCTCAGGGGAAACAAAGTGAATGAAGCAATAAAAAAAGGTGTTGTTGAAATTCTGTTCGCCCTTGCTTCTTCAACTACCACCCAATTCAAACTAGACATAGCCTGGGTCTATAGCATTTGAATGACAAGTGAAAAATACCGTCAGCCATCTGGATGTTTCCAAGTATCCAAGTGTTTGGTATTATGTAGACAAATACATGGATGATGGCGTTTTTTTTAAATGCTGGAGATGGTTTACGAAGACTCCTTCTCATTACCCAAAGTATTCCACGAAGGGCAAAATATCTTCACCCTAGTTTTTCCTGTGGAGACTATGTAAAAAGTGATTTTGAGAAAAGATAAAGGGGGCCTGCCTTCCTGTGTAGTATCAGATACTGGCTCAGAATAAGTGCTTTTGGCTAGTCTGATAGGTAAAATTATCTACTTCCAAATTTCAACGTCTGGCATTCCTCCATTGTAGCTGACCTTATGATACTGTATTACGTGAAAGGCATTTCTTTCCTCTCTCAGCTTTCCCCATTAGCTAGGCTGCGTGGATCGGACTGGTCCTGCAAACATAGGCTTCTTAGAAGCAAAGGCTATTAAAGCTTTAGTTCATTCACATTAATTTTTAAAATTTCTACATTTGGATGAAATTAACCCTATTCGTGGCATAAAACTGACAAGTCCATACAGACTTTTAACACCCCATTAATCTTACTTTGTTAGACTGGGGCACACAGCAGCCAGAAACTGGAAATTTGATTAGCTGGTCCCATGCATTAGCTATCTCACTGGTATGGCATTTTAAAATATTTTCCAGATATACAAAGCCATGTTAGCTTTTTCAAGGTCTGTATGGGGTTAGCAAAAAATACACCAAACAACCTCCTTACGAAATGGTTCTACTTTAGCTACCAAAAACTGATTTTCTCCTAGGGATTTTTTTTCACTGATAAATAATAATCTTGAAGAGGACTATGCAGGCTGAACTTTGATTTGTGGTAACCTTACAGCTCAGGGCATTTTTTCCCTAATCCTCTAGATTTATCAGGATCTAGTAAAATTTTTTCCAGTGGCAATTTGATAATAATTTTCAATTTTATACAATACTCTGGGGTTTTCAGAAAATCCTTCTGATGGACATGAATCCAATTGGAGTCATTTTGAAATGGATAGTCAGTTTATTGGATTAGCTGATAAGGTGATGAAAATCTCTTCTAATCAGATGGATATCTTTAATGAATCAAAAAAGGCTTTTTCATCCATCTCTAACTCATTAAAGCCTTTGTAAATCTCATGGAATGACTTAATGGTACACTTTATGTCCCTTTCTTCTTTTGTGATTTTTTTTTAACAGCTTAGCAAATTGTTCATAGAGAAAACTGTGTATCACAGCATAAATGCTACAATTCAGAAGCTAATGCAGCCCCCTTGCTCACAAGGAGCTGGCCAACCAAGCTGAAATCAGGAGGACACCAAAACTAATCTATTTTAGATTCTCAGAGACCAGAAAAATAAGTTGTAATGCACAAGGGCATTTGCTCCTGGAGGTTTCACCTGAGATTTCCATCTCTTCTCTCATCTCCACATTAAGCAAAAAGAATAGAAGCGTGGCCTGAGGCAAAGCAAGGCCTTTTCCTCTAAACTCCTGAATAGTGTCACAGTTGGTGAAAGCAGCTGATTTAACAGAGTGACTTACAACAGATACATTCACCTGAGGATTATTTCAGCTTCTCAGCAAAATGACTGGACAGTTAAAGGCATATATCCTTTTTTGCTGTCCTCTTCTTTAACCAATACTCATGTGCTGAACACTTCTACAGTAATAAGTGATACCACTAATAAAGCGAGCATCCATTTCCATTCCGCTGGTATTCAAATTAAAAGGTATTACTTCCCTTTTTCTCCTGTGGAAGCCTGGAGTATATCCTTTCTGTCACTGAGAAACTGCTGTGGCCTAAGGAGCTAATAGCCCAATAAGCAACTGCGGTTATTCTGAGCAGATAACTACATTCACTTCAAACAGGGAGACACAGGCAAATTTGATTGCTTTTTTGGGGTGCCAGGTCACTTCCTATAACATATGGACCACGAAGTTCTCTCATCTCACCTCTTACCTCCTCATCTAGCTCCTACTCAATGACAAAGTCACCAAATACCAGATTAAAGCTGATGACTATTTTTAATCATAAAAGGTGTACAGCTATTCTCTTGCAATACAAAAACACCCATCAATCATATGACATTTTGAACATATGTCATTCTAAAACTCACGAAGTTTTAAGGTTAGCTCCTTTTAAGCATAAGATTCTTTTCTTAGAACTTGCATTTCAGAAAATAAATCTAATCCTGCCAGAAAGCACAGCTTTTAAATTTGCAAATGCCTATAAAAGTTGGCTGTGTGAGTTTTTATAAGAAAATCACAAATTTATATGACTCTTACGTATACTATTTCTCTCCATCTGTCCCTGGCCAAAACCATCCATTGTATTTTGTTAATAACCACTTTATTACACTATTTGCATTTTTAAATATACATTTTAGGATTGAATTTTAACCTGTTTCCTCTGCTTACACATCCCATGTCTTACTTGCAAGAAACGACTTGAGCTTCAGCTGAGGAGTTGCACATATTCTCCTCATCGCAAATGCAGTCTCTGGGGAATAATTTCCTGTGGGAAGTAACTGTAGGAGTATCTCCGTTGTGCTATGGAAAAGTAAGAACAGCTGCCAGTTTTTTTTTTTTAAGACTAACCTATGTAGAAAAATGTCAAACTAGGGGCATTTCTACCTTTCCCTTGACTAAATACAGGCATCTTCTTTAAGCACTTACTAGAAGGGAATTTGTTAACCAAGCTGATGTCTCGAAAACAGGCCAGATACCAAGCAGAAATTCAGTAGTATTTTTCTTAGCACTGTGGAAGATACTGTTAAATACAATTTATCATGTCTGAGTTAAGATAATTAATGAGGTGTATATTTCCTTTTTCTTCCCTCTCTTTCTCTCTCTCTTTTATAATTAGTGATAGCATGCCAAAGTTTTAATACCTTCTGGGTTTCTTGTATACAGGAGATTTATGTGAAAAGAGATGCTTGCCCCACTATACCAAATGAGAAAAAAAAATAGAAAAAATATATAATATTATGGTTTTTTATGTAAAAAATACATAATATCAAATATATAGGCACACACATGTAATTCCTTAATTTTTCCCATTTAATGGTTATTCATGCTAAAATAAAAAGGGAATTTATAACATGTATATATAAAACATTTTGTAAGATAACTTTTATTTAGTTCTTTTGTTCATAATATTGCAATGTTATGGGGGCAGTGTTTGTTTAAACAAAATTTGCTCTGAACTTGGTAAATTGTCAAAGAGCACCTAAATTATATCCCTGGGAATTTCTAAACTGTACTTAAAATTTTGAATACTGTATTAGGAGAACATCTGTAAATAGTCTGATACATGAGCTTACTTGCAAGCATAGCCATTTTGGTATTTTAAATAATCACCCCAGAATTTTTTTTAAATATCATTTTGAAATCAGACAGCACAGCAAGGAGGTAGGTGTCAGAATTAAACACAAATGGAGATGAGGTCATTACTTATACATTAATATTTTTTATTCTTTTGGGTCCTTTTTGTTGAGGTTATATTTATGTTGTCATTCCCTTCTGAAAGATGGAAAAACAGATGATTTAAAACATTGTGCTATATTTTTGACAGCATTGTCAGAGCCAAGGTATGAATTTTATTTCTACATAAATATACTGCAATGCTGAATATTTTCCCTGTAATAGAGGTAGAGTAAGAATGTCAATATAATGGTAAGATTCAAAGGTTTTATAGGGTTTTTTTCATTAACAAAAAATGAAAATAAAGAGAAAAATCCTGAGAAATATTCTGAAAGAGTACATAAATTGCACTAATTTAGCTTCTTATATGTCTGTCTACTTCACTATGTCTCTAACTGCAGTGAGTGAATTGGATCATTTTTTTTTTTCATTTTGAAACTGAACCACACAAAGAGGAGATTATTAGATACACAAAGGAGATGCTATATAAATCATCAAGTGTTGACTGGTATGTTATAATGTAGGATAGAAAAAACTGAAAGGATATGTGAAAAGAATGAAAAAACAGTTGGAGGAATAACATGTGTAAAGTGAACATTTTACCAACCAAAGACAGATGCAGTTGTGGAGCTAAGTGTTTGTAGTAGAATCAAAGGAGAGGCAAAATCTTGCCCCATCTTACTCTAAGGCAATGTCCAGGAAACTGGAGAACTAAGTAGATCTTGTGGCTTTGGTCAGTTTCTGTTTCTGTTAGCAAAAAAAAAAAAAAAAAATACATCAAAGGTTCTCTGAACTTATTTCTCCTTTTTTAAAAAGTCAGTATACCAAAGAAACTTGACTTTTATAAGACCTGACCATCTGTCAATAGTAAAGAATAATGGTCATGATCATGATTGTCATGATCATGGTGGTGGTGTAGGTTAGGTTCCCTGGTTGCAGTCATTGGATTAAATGCAAGCTCAAATAAAATAAAAGCTGTCAGGTTACAGGGGTCAAACAAATTAAGTTTTCTTTGAGATTTGGATCAGCATCTGAGCTTAGTAACTAAGTTTCTTAATTGAATATTAAGAATTGTCACTCAAGCATGGGAAAACAGTGATGATTCTGTAATGGCTTACTATTGAGATTATTCTTGTCTAGCATATGGACTATTTCACATCGCACTTCACAAGTTTTGATACCTCTGACGTCTTAATCTAAAGTAGATACTGTTTAAGATCCTGTGATCACTAAAGTGCTCTAAAATATGAGCTATTTAAATATGTATTTCCTGGCAATTAATGCCTACCGGTGACAGTGACCAAATGTTTCATTACAGGATGGTTAATGAAAAGAAACCATAACTGAAGAGGAACATAAGAGAATTAACCTAGACTTTTTTTCCCCTGTAGCCTTTCACGTTGCCACAGAATAAACAGATTTAATGCAGTAGTTCTTTAATCTTCTTTAAAAGGGCGATGGGAAATTTCCTATATAAAATATTGGATCCTGAATATGGTTATTAATCAAATTCAACATCCAATTCAGGAACTGTATGAGAGGTTGTCAAATTTACAGAGAAAAGGTCAAATTAGTTTACATAGTATGAGTAAATTATTTTCCCATCCGACTAAATGATTTTTTAAACTCAGACATTATTTTTGAAGCCTAACAGAAAACAGAACATTGGATCACAAAGGGTAGAGGAAATATAAAGTCACCGAGTTAATGCTATGTCTGTTTTAATTAACTACTCAGTACAAAAATTTTAAGCAGGTTACAAACACAGCGTGCACGTACAACAAACAAGATTACAACTCCGTAGACAAAAAAATTTAACCTTGTAAAGAAATAAGAATAGAAGAAAATGCACCACATTATTAACTGTTTGAGCAGTAAAATTGTCATTGATTTTGTTTCTCTTCTTTTGCTTTACTTTTATCTTAATAAATAGGAATTATTTTAAAGAAAAAGTATGTTATTGTAAGTATTTTAATTAAGACATTTCTTCTTAAGAAATAATTTCAGTTTCTACTGATGCTTTTCAAGAAATGTGAGAACCACCTTAAGCTGATGTATTTTAGTGGTTGTTTCTGCAGAAAAAGGTCCAACTGTGGAACAAGGGCAGTTTGGTAGGGAAGACAATTCCTCATGTACATGGCCTTAATTTAGGAGTTCTCAGGTTCACATCACAAATTAAATGGCTTCCGGAAACATTTAATATACACAAGATTACTTCTGTGTTTCATTTTACTTCCCCAAGTATGTTATCTTTTCAGCGGTAAATGCTGGCTTCTTTTCAGTAAATAGTACGTTTGGCAAGAACTGAAGCATTTTCTCAGCTGTGCAAGTGATGATTAATGATTCAGTGCTCAACAGCATCAGGATAATTTTCACTGGATCTTTGGTTTAAAAAAATATATTGTTTCTATTTTCCTTCTTCAAATTCATATATGTAAAAAGGAAGGGCAAGATCCAGCTAAAATCACATGACATAGAGATAGAGGATGCATTTAAATATAAGCATTTCATCTTCCTGAATCAACTCTGCTTCCCCCAATTCATGGAGAGTAGAATAGTGTATTAATATATTATGATGCATGACATTTCTTTAAATAGCTGAAAAATAAGGGTAGCCCTTCCGATATAAATAATGCTCATATACATACCCTTAGAAGCAATAATTTTCTGTGATACCAACACATTCTGAGAATAGACAGAAACATAT